GCCCGACACCTGCCGGGCGCTGCCACCTGCCGGCCCGCGCAGGCCCTGGCCGGCCCCGCCCGCGAGGCTCTGTAGGGCCCCGAGAACCGAGAGTGACGCGCCTGGAGTCCGCATCTGCCTGACACCCACCGAGCGTAAGGAGCTCCCCTCGCGCAGGCGCGCGCGAAAGCCGCCTCCGGACCCCGAGAACTTCAGCCCCGCGGGCCTGGGCCCCAGGGCCCACCGACCCTCCCGCGGACCGGCCCCTGATGTCCGTGCCCCCTCTTCCCCGCCGCTTACCGCCGCTTACCGGGCCGCACTTGGGGATCCGAAAGGCCCTACTCCAGCCAGGGTTGGCGGATCTGACGGCCCGGCCGCTCCGCCCCTGCTAATTCACCAGAAGGCGGGCACTCCCCGTGATGTCACCCCCCTTCCGCATTTTTCTGGGATTGCAGGGCGGCTGGAATCCGGGTCAGCGTCCCTCGAGTCGCGCTCCACCCCGGGGCCCGGGTTGGGAGGGAGGTGCGGCCCCCTTCCCGGGACCTCAGCTTCGGGCCCGCTGAAGCCAGGGCTGCGGGCATGCTGTGTGATCGCCCCGTCCTGTCTCGGCCTCTCTTCCGGCAGCCTCCTACTCGGGAGACCGAGTGCAGGAAGAAGCAGAGCCCTGAGGTCTGCCTGCCCCGGCCCACCGCCGGTACAGAACTGGGAGTGAAAGGGGCCGGCCAAATTGGCCCCCGGGATCAGGGGCGGCCTGGAGAGGGGGAACAGCTGAGCAGAGGTACACAGAAGCAGCGTCAGCCAGGCCAACGCGCACGCGCAAAGGCAGGGCGGGGCTGAGGCAAGGGCAGAGCAGGAGGCTAGGACCCACTGGATCTGAAAGACCCCTCTTTTCCACAGGTTTGGCAGCCCCACATGCCTTGGTGGCAGCCAGGGGTGGCAAACCCACTGGAGCAGGAAGGGTGGGGCTGGGTTGAGGGCTCAGCCTGATCCCAGCCAGCTGCAAGTGTGTGGCAGTGGGGAGAGGCCCCAGCGCTCACTGGCGTGCCCACTAAGCAGGAAGCCGGACTTCGAGCTCCCCTCTACTGGCTCCAAGGGCAGGCTTGGAGGGGTAGCACTGCCTCAGAGCAGGGACCTCTGTCCTTATTTCCACAGAGGGCTAGGCTGTTTTGGGTACACCCCCTCAGGCCCTTGGGAGGGTCAGGAGCCAGCAGCCAGCAGCCAGAGCCGGAACAGGACAGGGCCTTCCTGGAAACCCCACCACCCATGTCAGGCTGAACCCCTGGGGACACCCTTCTAAGTCCTTGGGCATGCCCCTTCCTCATGCCCATGGCACCCAAGGCAGTACAGCCTGCCCTTTGGGGCCTGCCTTGGAACTCAGCTGTGCCTGGAAACCTAGGGCTCCCCAGTCAGGTGTTCCCAGTTCCCCGAAGCACACACTGCACCTGGTGCTAAGGCCCTACCAAGACCTTGATGTTTTCTTTTCCACCCATCAGCCTCCAAGCCCTCTGGGTTTCACTCTCACCCTGCTCCCTGGCTCTAAAGACAACCAGAGCGTATGTGAAGTACAGTCCAGAGGTAGGAGGTACCTCTGCAGCACACTAGTGCAGCACACTAGTGCAGCCTTGGGTTTTAGCCCCAGCACCACACAGAAAAAGTAAAAAAGCGTCATAGTTGTGACTCCTCCCCACCTCAGGACCTTCTGTGAAGCCAACTGCTGCCTGTACAGGGCTCTACCCACTGTGGATACACAATTCACTTCTCCAGGCAGGCCCTGCCCACTGCAGTGCCCCAGGTGGCTGGGAGTACCACAGCCACTCAGTGCCAGAGGATGGGGAGAAGCACAAGCAGCAGGGCTTCAATTGGTCTGTCCTCAGCCCCACATCCCAGGCCAGGCCTGAGGGGGAGACCACTCTCATAGTTTGTGTCTAGATGTCCTCCCAAAGCCTCATGAGGTCATAGGGCTTTTTGCAGAGGTGGCTACATCTAGATTGATTCGATTCATAGTATAATGCTCGGATTAAGGGTGGGTGATTGCTGGATCAGTACTGATTGGATGGGCACCGCCCCAGTCCTGGTAGACTGACTACACTATAAGGGACACAAAAGAGGCTTGCCTCCTCTTTTGTTGCCCCCTGCCTCCCCCGCCATGAACTGTTGCCCCTCTGCCATGTAACCAGCCACAACTGAAATCTCTACAAACTGTGAGCTGAATCTTTCCTCCTTTCCTTTAACTTTGGGTACCGGGTAGTTTAGTAACTAAGACAACCCTAGAAACCAGTGCCAATAAACACGTGGCCCTCTGCCCACAGGCCACCTCCACACTAGTAGGATGAGAAGTGTTGTCTGTCTCCAGGGAAACAAGGGACACTAGACCTGGAGGTATGCTCAGTCAGTGCCTTCACCTGTGAATCCTGGGGCAGCCAACTCCATCCCGAGTTGGCACCCGAGCAGAGCCCTGGACACCACCCAGACCCAGGGTCAACCTCTGCCGCTCACATTTCCAAACAAAGCCGGTGTGCTGCTTCCTCAAAGCTCAAGACTTCGCTCTGGGCCTAGGCCTAGTACCCTGCTTAAGGCCCACTGGAAGTGGCCCAGGCAGGTCCAGCTCCTCCTCACTCAACCACAGTCTCACCTGGCCCAGTCTGCATAGAAGCAGGAGTGCAGGTGTCCCGTAGCTGACACAAAGTGCTCACAGGCTGCTTAAGATACATAAAAAGGCTTTATTGGCAGAGGGGAAGGAATTTAATCAAATAGGCCAAATCCCATGTCATCATCAGACTCCTCAGACTCCTCCTTCTTCTCTTCTTTCTTCTCCTCTGCTGTAGAGACAAGAGGAGCAGGGTGAGTACTGCCCAGTGCCCAGCCAGACCTCACTGTGCCAGCCCAAGAGTCTGAGACTTGGCCCCCTGCCCACTCACCAGCCTCCACTCACCTGCAGCAGGGGCAGAACCCGCAGCAGGAGCTGCAGAACCAGGGGCAGCAGAGACGGCGACAGCCCCACCAGCCGGCACACTGGCAAGCTTGCCAATCCCTGCAGAGCAGAGCAGGGGTGAGGGTAAAGCCTGTCCTCAGCCAGGGGTGGAGACCCAGGGAAGCTGGTTTCAACAGGCACAGCAGCGTGCTCAACGAATCAGATCACATCACAGGGCACTGTCACAGGATCCCCTGTTCTTCCAAAGACATGAGGCCACTCCCCCCTATACATAGGTAGGAAAACCGCCCCCACCCGGAGCCACCAAACGTTTCTATCCAAGAACTTAGCTTCCAGAAATGAAGCCACAGCCAAACCACTCAGAGCTAAGTTCGACAAACATGTTTACAACTGGGCAGGGTGTCTGCTGCCCTAGTGATCAGCTCACTGTCCACAGCAGTGAACTGATAGTCCAGTTTGATGAGCAGACCTTTCCTGTCAAATGTACAAGGGCAGAAATGCTGCAGAGATCAGTGTCCAAACATGCCCTACCAGCTCCAGGGTGGTGCCACCATCTGCCCAGAAAAGGGGCCGGGAGCCTCTGGTCACCCCTGACACCCCCATACCTGCTCCCAACCCACTCACAGAAAGCTCTCAATGAACTATTTACAAAAGCCCCAAAGCTCCAAAAATGACAAGGGGATAGGCACAGCCAGGCCCCAGAGACCAGAGTTGGGAGGTGGAGGAAGAGTTCGGGGCAGTCTTGACCACCCATTCACAAAAGTGTCCAGAAGCGCCTCTAGCATGAGCCCACAAGAGGCCTTGCTCATTCCTTCGGGTCAAGCTTCTAGAGTGCTGTGGTCCACAAGCGAAACCTGGCAGGTCATAGCCTGACCAGCAGGAATTAGAATGGACCATAAAACTAAAAACCCTTCCACATAAACTCACCCTGGGCGATTACATCTTCAATGTTTTTCCCATTCAGTTCACCGATGACCTGAAGTAGACAACCACAGCCAGCAGTCAGTTACCAGAGGAGAGTGGTTGACCTGTACAGGACAACCTGATAACCATCAGCCACACAGGGATTCTCTGACTAGAGTTACTGGGGGCTGAATACTAGTTACTAAGATTTCAACTTGGCAATAAGAAAGGGTAGAGGGTCTCTTATTGCTTATGGTACGTGCATAATTACTGGATGAAATAAAGTACCACTAAGACTACCTTTGGCTAAAACTTGGCCAACGCACGAGGCCCTGGATTAGGTCCCCAGCACTACCAAAAAAGTAGTTGGGGAATAAAACTGCTTTCGTAACTTTTTTGTTTTTATTATTTTGCAGTACCAGGCATTGATCCCAGGGTTTTAGCTGAGCTACACCCCAGCCCTTTTAATATTTTACTTTAAGCCAGGATCTTACTTCATTAAATTACCCAGGTTGGGCTCCTACCTGGGCTCTGCCTCAGCCTTCCAGGGTGCTAGGATTACAGGCGCGAACCACCTTGCCCATCTTGCTTTGGGGAATGTTAAGTTACATGTCTGCACTGCACTAAACCTGCCAGCCCACAGTGGCTACCCGGACCGGCACAGGCCTCCCTCAGTCTCGCGTCAGAGTCACATGAGCAGGACCCACTGGCGTGAGACATTCGCGCCCACAGCGGTTTGGGACCCAGGGCGGCTGCTACCTTATTAAGCCGATCATCTTCTGCCTCAATGCCCACGCTGTCCAGGATCTTCCTGATGTCCTTGGCGCTGGGAGAGGAGTTGCCTCCGAGGACGGCCAGTAAGTAAGAGGCCACGTAGCGCATGCTAAGGGAGGTCGAGAGGGCGCGACGGCGGCGTGAGCGCGGGGACCAGTCCACCCGGAGAGGCCATGTGGGGCTCGATCCCCAGGCCCCGGCCCCAGGAGGCCCCTCGGAGCTCCCGCGCACCCCGCGCGCCGCGCCCGGGCCCAGCGGGGTACTCACTCGACGGTGGCGGCACACAGGGTACACGCGTGCGACCTCTGCGACGTCTGGCAGCGAAAGGAAAGGGCCGACGCAGGGGGCGGGGATAAACTGTTACCCAGAAGCCTCCGAGAGTGTGAGGCGCTGCGAGAGGGCGCGCACAAGTGACGTAATAGAGCGATCAGCCAATGACAACAGGAGAGAAGCCATTGACTGTACCTAGTCGAGAATTGCTCGGCAAAAGTGGAAAGCCGTTCAGAATGGGTGCTGTTTGACCATGGAGCGAGTGTCCCCAGAAATCTATGGGGCGGCAGGTTTGTCGACCTGAAGGGGACTGCAGGTCCCTTCAGCGACTAGCTCGCTGGCACGCCACAACTCCCAACATAGAAGGTGGCCACCTCGCTGAAGACGCGTCCTTGCTGGCAAACTACGACTCCCATGTTGCACCGTGCCGGAAGTGCGCGGCCGCCGGCTTTCGCGGGCCGCACGTGGGGTTAGGTGAAGGAGGTCCTGCAGCCTCTGGGTATCTGGCTGCGGCAGCCAGAGGTCTAACTTTCCGCAAAGACCTGTGGCATCATCTGGCGGGGCTCAGCGAAGTGGGCAGCCCTACTCGAGGCAGACTCCCTGGACCCTGTCGTGTGAACCAGAGCGGCTCGGCCGGGAAATAGGGAGCCTTGGAGCCCTGGCACAGAGGGGGCGGCGTCATCAGTGACCTAGGATCGGTTTATCCCTGCACCGTGGGAATGGCGAGATCAGAGTGACAGGCCTCCACGCTGGTCCAATCGGTCGAGAACTGACCTCAGTATTTACATGATGTTCTCACATATAACTCACAAACCAGGCCTGCCCATGTGTTTGCAGAATTTATGCTGTTGTGCAACTGATATAGAGGAAATAAATGCAACTCTCAACCTGCTAGGTGGCAGATACGCCGAGTTTACGTTCCCCTAAACCGAAGAATGAATTCTAAGGAGCAACGAAGGTTAAGAGTAGGAAATATTTATTGAGGAGGGGAGAGATACAGCTCCTGAGAGACAGGAGGAAACCAGGAAAATGGGTTACATGGACCCCACGACAAAACTATGATCCACCAGTAAAATTTTAAGTTTAGCTACTTAAGTAATATTGATCTAATGGGGAAGTGGGTAGCATAGCAAGTTACCTGGAAAGAAAAAGGACCGTTGTTTTTGCCTGTTCGTTTTTTTCCGGTACCGGGAATCAAATTCCCGACCTTGCACTTGCCAGGCAGGCGCTGTGCCACTGAGCTAAATCCCCAGGCCCAGAACAAGGACCTTTCCAGGGAGGGAGAATCAGTGGTTACCACGCACCCACCGGGGCAACTGATGTTTTTACCGTTTATCTTTCTTGTGGAGGCATGTAAGGCTGGTCATTTTGTCTTTATCTTGAGCCCAGGCCTCTAACAGATGCGTCTCCAGCCACAGTTGTCATACGTTTTCATCCTCTGTATTGACTCTCTTGAGGGCCTAGCCCTGTCTGACTGCCTGTAATATTTCTACCTAACTTAGCTGTGTATAATGTTCCTCCTTCTGAAGAGGTACGCCTGCCATAAGGAGGCGATAACCGTTTTAGCTGAAAGGGGCTGTAGTTGTAATGAGCAGTCAGATACTAAATGTTCTCAGGAGACTCCAGGTGTTCCCATCGTGGGTAGGTATATAGCATCAAGTCTGGAGAAGACAAGGGCAAAGAAACAGTTAAGTATCGATGGACCAAATAATATCAGGTGGGTATGGTGGTGCATAACTGTAATCCCAGCACTCAGGAGGCTGAGGCAGGAGTATTGCTACAAGTTCAATGCCAGCTTGGGCTACATTGCAAGATTCTGTATCAAAAAAAAAATATATATATATATAATAATAAGATCAACAAGACTTATGAATATAACCAGCAAATGTTTCCACCACGAAGAGCAAGTAATAGCCTACTACAAAGAGGTAAGAAGAAGGTCCAAGGAATTTTAAAATCTGATACAGCATTAACATGTCATTTAATATCCTGAACAGCCATTGAGATATTAGCAGAAGGATCAGGAATGTGCATACAGTGTACATACATTTAGCTTTTACAATTGCACAAGTATCCCCTTGTACTGCTCTTAGAATATCTAATGCCATCCGATTTTGGAGGACAGACTTGCCTCATTAATTTTACTTTTTTATTTAGGAGAATGAGACCAGTTGTGGAGTTAAGGCTCATTGAGTATAGTTAGCCAAGGCCTCCATATGTGGCATGGTGTTCTCTAATCCTAGGGAAAGGATAAAAATAGCCAAAAGAGCATACCAGTGAAACACACTTTTTTATTTTATTTATTTTTTTGTCTTTTTGAGACAGGGTCTCCCTATGCAGTTCAGGCCAGCCTTGAGCTCACTTTGTAGCCCAGGCTGGTCGAGAACTTGCAACGATCCCCCTGCCTCAGTTTCCCAAGTGCTGGGATTCAGGTGTGTGCCACCACGCCCACCTAAAATTATTAAGTTCCTTTAAAAAAAATTTTTTTTGGTACCAGGAATTGAACTCAGGACCTTGCCCTTGCTAGGCAGGTACTTGTGCCACTGAGCTATATCCCCAACTGAAACATACTTTTAGACCATCAGATGGTTGTAGGTGAGGTAAGTTTGTAGGTAAAATCTAATTTTTCAATTAGATTTTATTGGTATATTTTAGATATACATAATGATCACATTCATCATAGAAAATTTGTACCTGTACATGATATAACTTTTCCCCCATCCCCCTACCTGCTCTTCAACCACTCCTCCCCTCCCCATTTACAAAGCTTTATTTTCATGTTTTCTGGTTGATATTTTTGACACTCTTGCCTTATAATCAGGCAAATCTCAGTGTGCATCTCCCTATAAGGGGGTACCCAGAAGTGCAAATTGGTTCCACAGGACCAGTGAGTTCCACTCGGGGCTTCCCATCTAATTTCAGGGTGGTTAAAGTGGTAAACTGTATTATAAGTCAGTCCTCAACCAGTAAAGTTATAGCGTATATACACTGGGAGGCTGTCCATCTCAAGTATTTAGTAGAGTTAGCTCAATGAGAATAGGGGAATAAGATTTCTTTGTTCTCAACATAAGGGGGCCTTTTTACTAAGTTTTCTTATAGACATAAAGTTATCTCATAACTGAAAGTAGCCATCTTTATACCTGTGATTGTCGGCCCTCTCGTAAGAGGAGCCTCACTCTTACTTAACAGAGGTTTCATCAGTCTGTAGAAAGGCTTTAGTGGCATTTTTAGAAAAAAAAAAAAAAATGATGTCCAGGATCATTAAGGGTGTACTTTATAGGTCACTCAGTTACTTTGTAACAGTGTGCTAAACTAGAAACCACTGAACTTCTTTGTGTCTCGTCAATGTAGTTTTGTATCTTACTTTAATCATCTCCTTGAACAGGAGATACCCACCAAGGAAGTCTTAGTGTACTGAAGGGAGGGCAGGCCACATATCCAGCAGGATGTTTCTTTAACGACTCAGTGTATTCCTATATGCACACTACAAAGGAATTGTACGCTCCTATAAGTGATAAAGTCATTAGTAAAAGGGCTAAAAGTTACATCTTAGATTCCTTTTCTGAAGACTTTGCTTTCTTTTTAAACAAGAACTTTTAGGTCTCCTGTGGGTTCACAGGAGTATTGCAGTGGTTGCCCACGCTCATGACAGTCTCTGGTTCCCAGGGCTTGAGTCAGTGTGGTGTATCCAGGGATCCAGGCCTGCTACTTTGGCAGCTGATGGACTTGACAGGGTCATGGTGTACGGCTTTTCCCAAGTTGGTCCTAGGGAAGGGATGATGAGGGAGGGGACTTTACCGGTACTGTCTCCAGGGTGAAATGTGGAATTTCTCCTTTCTTTGGGCTGAGCTTCTGCTAGCTATTGAAAAGTCTACTGGAATTTAGCCAGAGAGGTGACATCTTTTAGTAAGGCATCTGTTTCTCTATCAAAGAGAAAATCGTCTGTGAGAAAAGAGCATCCTATGGCATTTTAAATGGATTGAGGCCTAGGATTTGAGGTATATTTTTTACTTTGATTAGAACTAAAGGTAGGGCTGGGGATGTAGCTCAGTGGCACAGAGCCTCCCTGGCAAGCCCAAGGCCCTGAGTTTGATTCCTGGTACCAAAAAAAAGAACTAAAGTTAGTAAGTGAGGCCGTGGTAGGTGGGTTTCCAGAGCCACTTTGTGAAGATGTCTTTTTAAGGTTTCATGTTTTTTAACCTTTTTCAGTGACTGTGGCCTCTATGTATAATGATAGAGAATTCTAGAGCCTGAGAGACCCTGTGTGACTCTTGCTTTAAAAGAAGGCCCATTATCACTCTGTAAGCCCAAAATAAGTTCAAATCTGGGCATGATTTCTGAAACCAAAACCTTTACCACCTCTTGTGCATTTTTTGCTCTACAAAGAAAGTCCTCAATCCAGTTTGTGACAGTATCTACCCAGACCAGTAGGTATCAGAGGCCCTTACTCTTTGGTGTAGGAATAAAGGTGAGCTGTCAATCTTTGTTTGTTTATTTTTGTTTTTCTTCTGGTACCAGGAATCAAACTCATGACCTTGCGCTTGCCAGGCAGGCACTGTGCCACTGAAATAAATCCCCAGCCCCTGAGCTGTCAGTCTTTTCTAGGGTATTTGCCATGTCTCTATGTACCTGGGGGGGCTATGGTCTGGTTAAGAGGATTGTTGTGTTTTGTTTTGTTTTTTTTTAAGAGCTCACATGTCCTAACTATCTGTTGTATTGTGTGAGAACATTTGTTTTTGTGAATAACTTTGAAGCAGACATGGTGGCACATGCCTGTCATCCCAGCACTTGGCAGGCTAAGGCAGGAAAATTGCCAAGGCCATCAAGGCCTGGCTGAACTCCGTAGCAAGACCCCGTCTCAAGAAAACAAAACAAAACAAAACAAAACAAAACAAAACTTTGAGCCCATTTGGTAGGTCTTGTCTCTCTCCAAGTAAATGGTTATGTAAAGACTTAGTAATTTTTGATTGACTAGAACCAGGAAGGGACAGTTTACCATCATCTGATTGTAACCATCCTGATGGAAGAAACTGATACCCATGGAAGAGAGACCATTTGATTTTTTGTTTGTTTATCTTTTTGAGGCAAGGTCTCGCTGTGTAATC